CATGGCCTGAGTTTTAATCTTTAATAGGATCTATTTTGTTGTTATTATTTGTTTGAAAACTAAGAGAAGCAAAGACCTGAGTAGGAAAGCCAGTTAGAAGGCTTTTAAAACAAGAAAGCAAAACATGATGGAGGATGATCCAGTATGGGAAAATGTGCGATTCCAGATATTTTGATATTATCTTATAGAACTGCAAGAAAAAGAATCAAAGTTGGCTCCCAAGTTTTTGTCTTGAGTACTTATAATGATCTGCTGGCTTTATTTTCATTAACCAATATAGGAACAGTTCCTAGAAGAAGCTTTAGTTGGGAACAAAGGAGACTTTGGGAGTCAGAGTCGGTCATTTTAAGTTTGAAATGTTTATGTGATATCTAAGCAAAGGTATCAAGTAGGAAATCATACATAATGGAATTTATGTCTAAATTCTATATATGGCATATGAATGTGAGATCTGTACAGTAAGAAGATACTGAGAGAGTCATCATTCACTTCTAGATGGCATATAAGACTATGGGACTAGATGACTTTAACAAAGACATGCATGGTATCTTGGAAGAGATTGGCAGCAGGTTGAGATTCTTTCAAATTTTGGACATATTTTGATATTGGTTGATCAATAAGAGAAAAAGGAATAAGTGGATGACCTTCTGGTATGGGAGAAGAGAAAGGAGCAGCAAAAACCTAGAAGGATATGCTAGAGAGAAAGAGGGTAAAACAGGGAAGAATGGTGGCAGGAATTTAAGTCAAGTATAGGAAGTATGCAAAGGAGAAATGAAAGATCGAGAGGATTCCATGATGTGATACAGATATTCGGGACCAAAAATCTACTAAGTGCATTTGACAATGTGGAGGTTACAGATGACCTTGATGAAAACATTGGTGGAGTGGAAAGCACAATGACAGGATTGAAGGTGGAGTTTAGAGAGTCTGTAAGGGAATAGGAGGAAGGAAATTGGAGGCAGAAACTAAGGATACTTTTTGAAAGAAGGTTATTGTAAAAAGGAGATTTTTTTTTTCAAGATGGAAATACAAGATATGTATGGTGATGTGAATGATTCAGAGATGGTGGTAAAATTGATTATTCGTGGATAAAGTGGTGAATAATACCCATGCAATACATTTGAATCATGCTTATCAAGTGCTATTAAGTGGAAATATAAGACAGCGAGATGTAGTCTCTACTCTCATGGAATGCACATGACATTTTCCAGCTCTTCTCTCTAGCTCAAAGTGGTTCCCAGTGAAAGGCTCTACTTTCAGCATTAAATGTGAATCAAAGCCATCTTATGGGAATGTTGAAGGAAATGGTAAGCTTGAGTTGAATGCATAATGTTTGATGACATATGAAATACTATATATTAGAAGAATTTTATAGGCCATTTTTTAATTTGCAGGGATACCTGTTTGCATATCATGTGATGTTTCTATGAGAAAACAAAGCTATGTAAATGTATAAGGCTGTAGTTACACTAAGGAAGTAATAAGAAAAAAAAGAGGGGATAACAGTGACAGAGTTCATCTATTAGTGTATATATCTAGGATGGAAACTGTCAGTGAATTTAGGAGATGTTTAAAAGATTGGAAGGAAATATGAAGACAAAATTCCTGGAGGTACATATACAGATTAAATGAGGGGAAGTTTTTGGAAGATAGTAGAATAATTCATATTTGTAATCAAAAGAGAGAAATTCAAATAAATGTCAAGTTTAGAGTTGGATTACTGGTATGCATAGTTGGAGGGCAGGTGAAGATCATAGGGAATTCTGAAATAAGGTGGTAGATGAGATTTTTTTTCCCAAAGGGCACAGAAGTAAGCTAGCACAATGACAAGATTGGAGGTGAGAAGAAGATTGACATCAGTGATGAATATCAGGGCAAGAGTTTGAAATTAGTATTTGATAAGACAATCAGCATAAAATTCAGAGAAGGACAAATTCTTTACATGGGTGAACAATATTTTGGAAGCTGTAAAACTGACAAGGTAGATATAAATATTCTCTAATGAAACCACGGTGTGTACCATATGGGACATAGGTAGCAACAAGGTATCAAGAAAGGGAAAAATAAGCTTGGAGAAAATCCAGGTTTCCAAGATACAAGCCTTCTATCTTTCTTCTTTCTTCCATGGTTTCAGGCTCTCTCTCTCTCTCTCTCTCTCTCTCTCTCTCTCTCTCTCTCTCTCTCTCTCTCTCTCCTGCAGATTGAACTACTCAAGGGCACTCTATACTGAGCCACATCCCATCCCTTTTATTTATTTATTTGCTTTGGGGGAGAAGATATCTCTAAGTTTCCAAGGCTGACCTCAAACTTGCCATCCTCCTGCTTCAGTCTGTTCAGTTGCTGTGATTTCAAGCATGCACCTTTGCACCCCACCCTGTTCAGTCTCCTCTGAGGATCTCATTTATATTAAATGTTAGTGTATATCCTCTGAGAAAGAAGTCTTCTGCTTAAATTTAATTAATCATTTCACAGAAATGTATCTATTAGTTTATGATTAACTTATTTTGTCACATTATAAAATTTAAATAGAAATATTTGTATGGAGTAATTGTATGGGAGTAATTCTGATGATACCTGAGGAAATATTTTTAATACATTTGTTTATGATTTCAAAATTCAGATGGTTGGTGTCTGTTTCTGTTTATTCCTAGGATTTATTGTCCTTTACCTTCTTCTCAACAATTATGCTACTATTTAAAATATCCTCTGGGAAAAGCGTATATACTTGTGTGTGTGTATGTGTGTGTGTGTTTATATACATATATATTTATACACACATGCAAATATATCATATGAAAAAAATGTAAAAGTCTAGGAAGTATTCTTCCTTCAGCTGGTCTTTTTTGTTTGTTTGTTTGTTTGTTTTTAAATTCTGAGGAATCTGCTTTTTTTGTCCTAAGTTTTTTTTAAAAAGTTGTTTTTATTAAATGAATGTTCCATGTTCAGCCAGAGGAAGGAGAAGTTGTGTACAATGTGTCAAAATGCATTCTACCATTACACATAACTAATTAGAACAAATTAAAATATTTAAAAATAAGTGAATGTTCCTCGCACATTAGCTTTTCCAAATGCCTCATACTTATGCAAGGTTAAGACAATACAACCAACTTCATGCTATGAGAGTGTGCAAACAAACTTCTATTTTTCCCTTATAAGCACTGTTCAGTTGCTGGAGTGCATGAAACACAAGTTACTATATCATTTTGCATGTTTACCTAGTAAGAGTTCTGCATTTAATATGCAGAAAATCTATTGAAATACATTATTCATTGCATATGAAAACAGTACACCATCAAAAATTAAATTTATTTTCCCATACTAAATGCAGCTCTTTTTCATTTTGGATACCAACCACTCATATAATTGAATCATCTGAATAGACCAACAGAACAAAACTAATCTGGGTGGCTTAAGAAATAAATTTTATTTTCTCGTAGTTCTGGAGGCTGGTAATCCCAGATTAAGGTCAAGTAGGATCTGCTTTTGATGAGAGCTCCTTTCTTCCTGGCTTATATGACCCTTCCTTGGTGTGTTCTGAGGCAGGAGAGAGAGAAAGAAAGTTCTACTGTCTCTTCTTATAAGGTCACTAACCAAATCAGATAGGGCCCCCCACTCTTATGACCCCATTTAACCTTATTACATCTTGGAGACATCATTCTACACACAACTGCACTGATGGTTAGGGCTCCAACATGAATTTAGGGGCAGGGTACAACCATTTAGTTTATACCAATGAGTGCGTACTTAACCATTAAGGGTAGTTTCTTCAATACTTTTTGATGCATGGAACAGCCTTCCCAATCAGTCCCCATGTAGAGGTATTAACCTATAACAAAATGTCTGTCCCAGGCTTTTTTTATTTTATAGAAAAACCATGTGACTCACTGAGATCTGTTTGGGATTTCATTTAAGATGGACGACTGACATAGACAGGAACTTCAAGTCTTCCATGAAGAGACAGGAAAGTAGACTCAACAATAAATATTGAGTAAACAATCAATAGAAAAAATGAAAAAAAAATATGTATCAAAAATTGATGGGAAAGCACACAGAGTCTGGAAAGGTTGTGACACATTTGGGATAGGAAGAATTTTCCTGATTGTACCATCATGTAGGTGCAGTGGGCTGTCAGGCAAGGAAAATGAACACATAGCCAGGTGGTGAACAGACTGAGTCATGAAAGGGTGTTTGTGCCAACTGAGGCATACTTTACAGTTGAAACCAAATTCTAGATTTTGATTAAGTTTCATAGATATTTTCATTACATAAATTAAAAGTTAATATCTTAATAGCCAATGGAAAATACTTAATTTTTGTTTTAAAATAAAATTCTGGTCATCTATTTCCTTCCCATTTTATGCATATACCTATTAGAGGTCCTTCCTTGAGTTTTATTTGGCTTTAGTTTCTATTTCCTTACAGTCTCTGGGGATGCTCAATGACAGCGACTGAAGATTTGCATCTTCAGGACATGACTCAGTACATAGGAGGGACTCAATGGGTATTTCTTGAAAGATTTTAGAAATCAATGGCAACTGAGTTCACTTCTATTCAAGAGATTTTCCAGTTCTATAATTATAATTCCCAAGAACTCTTAGAGGCTAAAGTAACCAGATGTGGAAACAATTTTTACATTTCATGTCTATCTAATTAAGAATTTACTGGGATGGGATTATTTTGGTGTTGTTCAGACAACATTCCTTCTGTTCTCTTTCCCCAGACAGTGTTTGCTTACTTTGGTCCACATGGTCTAGTCATTAATTAGCATTTGTTTAGATCATCAAGTAATTGAATCCTCAAAGCAGAGCTGTTTAACTCACGTGAATGATGTTTCAGAGGTTTATTTTTCTTCTTCTGAACCCTCCTAATTTTCATTATCAGTGGTTAAATGAGTGTTATAGGAGCTTGTATGTATTTTTTCCCAATTGCTCATTCATAAATTCTCCAAGGAAATTTGGAAAAAATTCAATAATGAGACAGTTTCTTTGTTTTCCTTCTAGATAACATGAATGAGGATAATACATTCAATTGGAATATAACTACTCCTTCCTATCATGGTAATGTTTATAAGTAATAATTTTGATATGCCTTGTAAAAAAATGGACAATATACTTTAAAAATAGTTACCAGATTTCTTCAAGTTAGGTTAGTAAAAAATAAATTATGTGGGTAGCACTTCCAGTATTACAAAATTTCTTCCACAATAATTGTTTGTCCTTTCATTAGCTATTTATGGATGTTCTGAGGCATATTTTACAGTTGAAACCAAATTCTAGATTTTGATTAAGTCTCATAGATATTTTCATTACATAAATTAAATAGTTTGGGGCCAATTATGTTTTGTGTAGTCATGTGGTAGTAGTGAGGATGGGGCTAGTATTCACATATACCTGTGTTTTCCAGAATGTAAACATCTTCTAGGCTAGAAGAATTACATAGATCTTCATTTGAGATTCCTATCTGCTTCCAGTAATGTGCAACAGAACTACGATGATTTTGATTTGAGCCAATTAATTCACCATAAGCTGTATAGTTCAAATGCAAGTTCTGAAAATTTATTGTCTACATTTGGGAGACTTGGATTCAGAGATTTTCTACTACAACTTGGTTTGGGCCCAATACATTTCCCATCACTCTGGATCATAATACATACCCAATATAGATGATAGATGCTTCAAATAGCACACTGCTCAGGTCTCAGGATATTCATACTTACTCTAAAGAAAGTAATGTTTGCCAAAAATGGCACATTGGCACATCATTGTATTTTGCTCATAGATGTCTCACAATTTTTGCAGATTCTAAATGTATGGGTTTGTGTTTACTTTTTCATGACCTGAGCATATCCATTTCTTTCAGGATTCAATGGGATCCAGTCCTGTTTGGAAGTGACAGAGGCGTGTGTAGGGGATGTGGTGTGTAATGCACAGTTGGCCCCTTACCTTAAAGCATGCTCAACAAATGGAGATCTGTGTGATGTGAAACACTGCCAAACAGCCATACGGTTCTTCTATCAAAATATGCCTTTTAACGTTGCCCAGATGTTGGCTTTTTGTGACTGTGCTCAATCTGATATACCTTGTCAGCAGTCCAAAGAAGCTCTTCACAGCAAGCCATGTGCAGTGAACATAATTCCACCCCCTACTTGCCTCAATGTAATTCACAGCTGCCGAAATGATGAATTATGCAGGTGAGTAAAAACATGCATACCTTACTTTCTTATTTCGGCACCTTATTTGTTACAGTCCAGTCCTAACACTTGATCCCATTACATTAGCTGGTGTTCCCACCATTATCCACTGTGGTGTAAATAAAACCAGACAATTCATAGTTTTGAATCTGTGGTACGTGTCTAGTGACCTTTTTGAAATTTTAATGCAGAATAGTTTTTTTTATAATAAAGCAATTCAGTATCTAAAAATTTGGAAATCATATTTTTAATTATATATTCAAGTTGAACTAATGAATTGGTTAACATTCCAGGTTTGTATAATAGTTTCAGAATTTTGGCGGGGAGGGGACTGATTATATAAGGCTGCCAAATGTCCTAGAATTTTGTCAGGGTGGCTATTTGACCTTCAGAATAAATCCTCTCTGTGTTAGACTCAAGATAATGAATGGATCTCTCAGTAAACATCGGAAGGAAGAGATATCAAGCCAATGTTCTCAAGCCAATTGTATCTCTTCTCATGTTGAGGAAGAAATATGAGTGATAAGGTCAAAAAGCAGTAAGGATGGGGCATGCAAGGGGCAAAGCAACAGGCAATGAGGCCAGAAATTAAATTGGGTAAAGTGTGGGCAGGACTAGATCACTAGGGCCCTGAATGATTTTGCAAGGTTTTGGCTTTTAGCATAAGTAAAATGGAGAGGTACCGGAGGATTTTGAGCAGAGTTATGAATGATCTGGCTCCTTTATTAAAACTTTCACTCTGCCCCCATGCAGGTAATACACATATATACACATATGTTACTCTCTCTTTCTCTATCTATCTATCTATCTATCTATCTATCTATCTATCTATCATCTATCTATCTATCTATCATCTATCTATCTATCTATCTATATCTATCTATCTATCTATCTATCTACACACACACACACACACATACACACACACATAAGATTGTTTGGCATGTTTAATTCCATCTTTCCTTTCTTTCCATTTATCCTTCCTCCCTCTCTATCCTCTTCCTCTATTTTTATGGCTTCCCCCTACATTTTTTTTTTAATTTCTTATTTAGGTCTAGCTTCTACATATGAGTGAACACATTCAACACTTGATTTGGGGTTTGTCTTATTTCACTTAGCATGATGGTCTCCAGTTGCATCCAATTACCAGAAAATGTCATAATTTTATTCTTTTTTATGGCTGAGTAAAACTCCATTGTGTATATATGACACATTAATAGTACAAGTTAGAGTTTTAAATTGAGTTTTTTGAAAGTTCTTATTAGTGAACTACTATATTTCATTGATTCTATCATGGAAAAGTTTTTATACATTTTAACATTTTGATGCATCTGAAATGAGTCTTAAGGTCAATGACAYGAAAATATTTTTCTTAATATAGTTGCTTGTGGCAGTTTTTAGTTGTGCATAAAAAATGTTGGTATCTTTTGAAATAAGAGAAATGTAAGCATGTTTGATCACATTATTTTTCTCATATCACAAAGAGGTTCTATCTAAAAATCTGTTTATCTATCAACCTATCATCTATTTAACTGCCAATCTATTATCTATACACACTAACCATGGAGCCTAATAATATTTTAACTAGCCATCACCAAAGGGACACCAATCCCCGTGAAAATATCAGATGTTTTTCCATAGATGGGTACCTGGCTTTGCCTGACTCTAGTGCCAGAAACTGATGTAAGCTACCTTGCTATCCTGAAATCATTTGCACACAACATTCAGAACATGGTATTTTTGAGCCTCCATATCAATTAACAGATTTTAATGGCAAGTGATGGAACACCTTGCTATAGTCTTGAGAATCTGAAAGAGTCTCTCATGTTAACCTCCCCTTGGTATCAGCTCCTTCTCAGACTGGTACAGAATAGTTGGTTTTTCTCTACAAGATCTCTAATGTTTAAGTACCTCTCTGAAGTGTTTGGTACAGGATCTGGAATAGGATAAACACTCAGTTCATGATTTCCCCTTCATTTTTGAAAATTGTGTACTTAGTTTTTATATTTTATTGAACATGCACATATCTCTTCTCACATTATTTCTGTCTCAGATTAGTTCACAGAGTAACAATTTTGTGCCTTCAATTTTCTTTCACTATGTGCAAATAGTCCCTTAATGAATACTTTATAGAGGCAATGAAAATATTAAACAATATGAGTATTCTATGTGAAAAGACAAATTCTCTCATTTTCCCAAGCAAATTCTGCCTTAGGGAGATTTCCAGCATTTATATTAAATTATTGCTAATGTAATTCAGATGAAAAAAAAAGTCTCCTAATGGAAAATGCTTTATCACTTCCTTTCTTATGGAAGAGCTTGTATGTGGGCAAATCAGGGTCTTGGATTTTAAAATGAAATTTCTTGTTCCATATTCTTCAATTCAGAAAGGGTTTTGAAACTTCTTTAATTTTTGAATAGTTGAAAGGAGCCAATATAAAGGTCATTTCTAATTTATCTTGTCTGATATAGAGATCCAGTGGAAGCTGAGATTATTTTTCTTCTAATTATATGTTTAGGAACTTATGGGAAATTATACTACATTATATTTTCATATGTACAAACTAAAAAAGTAGTGCAAAAGGTATTTGCTTAGAAATAATTCTACTTACTTTAAAAGAAGTCATTTATTTTAAGTGTGATGGTACATTTACAAAATGTAGTTACATATTAGTTCACAAAAGGAATATAGTACACTTAATGTACAGATATTACTTAAACCACATTTCCTTAAAGTTTTCAATGTAACTGGAAATTAATAGCAAAAATGAAATGATCCATTTTTAAAAATTAGTCTTTTAAACACTTTGTTGTTTGAACAATTAGCCAAAATAAGACATTGAAGAATATCAAGAAAATAAAGATAATGAAAATGCCATGCATCAAAATATTCCAAACCAAATGAAAATTTTAATATAAATTTTTTGCCATGTTAAAAATGTTGATTTCCAATGAATTAGGTATTTGTGTAACAAAGTAGTTTTATTTTTAATGAAATATTTTTAATGTATTATTCTGGCAAACTTTCACTACTGTTTTCTAAATGAAAAAAAAATTATACAACTTTAATTTAGTAGAACCCAAATTTTTAAAATAATATTTGTTAAAAATAATAAATAATAAAAAATTWAAAATGCCCAAGTTCATATTTACTCTGTCAACTTCCTAAGAAATTATCAATACTTTAAAAACTTATATTTAGATAATCATTTCATATATAATTTTATATATAACCATTAATTGCATTAAAGGAACATATGTGTTTTGGCCTCAGAATCATTTAGGAAATTAGTAGTATTTTCTTAATTATCAATTTTATTACATACGAATTAACTTTCACCATTGTATTGAAAAGGTGATATTTCAGATTATTTAAATGTGACATTATTGAGAACAATGTGGCTTTTTCCTTTTTATCAAAGTAGCCCTCTGTGGACCAATAAGCTCACTTGTGGCATGTATCCTAAGAGCTTCCATCACTAATGACCGTAACCTATTTAAGAAAGAGAAGAAAGTCATTTAAGTGATAAATATTAAGTTGGAAGACTAATATCCTTCATTCTACGGAGAAAAACTGTGAAAGTTTCAAAAATGAAATTGCTGAACATTATCTAGACTTTTATTAAAAGCTATTATGACAAGAATCCAATACATAGAAAAGTTATAGATGGATGCATTTCCAATTGATTTTCTTAGCCATTAAGTAAACTGGTAATATTTTGTTCTTGCTGCCAGAGAATCTCAAAACATTTTGTAAATTCTAATTAGAGTCTGCTTAGAAATGTGAAATACATATTATAGCACCAATTCTGTGGGAAAATTGACTTGAAAGGTCAAGCGCTTTGTTTGAAATCAGTTGATGTTTGAGAAMATGGCCAAATGCTAGTTCCAAAACCATGTTAAACTCGAAAAAAACAATGCTGCAAAATCTCTCAGATAATTCTGTTTCTTCACTCTTTTTCTTTCTTTCTTTTCTTTTTTTAATCATGCATTACCTGGGACTGTTTCCTTTTTTAAAATTTTTATTTTTTTAGATATACATAACAGTAGAGTGTATTTTGACATATTATATATACATAGAGCATAACTTATTCTAATTAGTTATGAATTGGTTCTGTATTGGATTAGACAGAGGGGAATGAAGGGAAGGGAGGGAGGAAAATGAGAGTAGAAAAGACAGTAGAATGAATCAGACATAACTTTTCTATGTTCTTCATTCTTGTTCCAGGAGACGCTATAGAACATTTCAGTCCAAATGCTGGCCTCGGGTAACTGGAAAGTGCCATGAAGATGAAACCTGCATCAGTATGTTGGGCAAACAGGACCTCACTTGCTCAGGAAGTGATGACTGCAAAGCAGCGTACTTGGGCACCCTTGGGACTGTTCTTCAAGCACAATGCACCTGCAGAAGTGTCACACAAAGTGAAGAGTCTTTGTGCAAGATTTTTGAGCACATGCTTCATAGAAAATCATGTTTTAGTAAGTTCTCTAATTGAAATCCTATCCCTATTATTCTTTCTTTCTTTATATCTTCTATTTATCTATCTCTTTTTTTTTCACTATGCAGTGCATAATGGTAATCCTGCTCAAAAAATTTGTTCACAAAGACAATTTATGTTTGCTATTCACTTTTAAAATCTATTTTCTGATTAAGATCTCTGTATTTGCTATTTTACTCACTTTTCAGAAAATGGCAATTTTTATGTTTTATGAAATAGTTCACTCCTAGTTATCATTTTTGAATTCAATACCAAAAGCATAAAAGGTTTGACTTGTGCAAAGTTATAAACCAGCTCAAAATATTGGCATAAGATGAAACTATTTATTTATAAACTAAGTAATAAAACAGCTCAAAATATTGGCTTACAACAATATTTATTTGATTACAATTCTGCAGATTGGGCTTGGATCTACTGTTGAAATCTTCTGACAGTTTTGTCTGGGTCACTCATGTAGCCTCAGCCATCTGTTAATCTACTGAGGCTCCACAGTCTCAGATGGTGTTAGCAAGCATCATTGGCTGATATGGCATGGTTCCTCTATAGAGGACCTCTTCAGCAGTAATGTATTGGACTTTTTCTTGCTGGCAGCAAAATTTCTAGTAGCTAAGATCCAATGTGCTGGAATTTATCAAGTGTCTGCTGTTGTCATATTTTAAATATTCCATGAAGCCAGGCAAGTCACAAGGCCAACCTCAGGGCCTCTATTGAAGGTTATTACACAAAGACCTGGGTATTCAAGGAAGGATTCATAGAGGGTCATTAATTTAACAGTGTATTGAATAGGACTGTCCCAGTCTATATAAAATGTATTTATTTATCTTTCAATTTAGTTTTGTTCCTCCCTTTGGTCTTTAACATTTCTGCTGATCAACTCTAGTGTTAAGGTAATGAACAATATTTTCTGAAATGATTGTTTATTCCAATTTGGAAATAATGTAAACTGAAATTTATGAATTTAAATAATTTGCTCAGATTCTCAAAGTAAACAAATGGCCAAGAGGTATCGCTTCTATGAATCTTATAGAAAGAACCTAAGAATGTGAACATATACTAATTCAAAGCCTCTCCTATATTCATCTTCAAGTTTAGTCCCTATCAACCTCCAAGTCTAAATCCTCTGTAGGCACCAGGGACCCTGGTTGTAACTAGCAAACCTTCAAGTGCTATTTTCAGAAGAAAATAATGAATGTATCTTGTTTTATAGCAAACCAAATCTTTATATTTATGGGAAATTGACAGAGGTATATATCTATGTCTATACATATATACAGACCCACACAACTTTTGATTTTTTTCTATTTTTCTTTGTAGATATTTAGAAGATACACAATGATCAATGTATTATATATATTAGCTAATGGACACATTAATTCAGTACATGGTTTTATTTCCTAACAGTGTTTTCTGTGACTTAGCTACAATTTCTATATTTAGCACAATGGACATATTTCAACTGAAATCATGATTTAAAGAGAACTGCAGTGTTGTACATGTTGTCATATTTTCTTAATAATGTCTGATTAACACTAATTCTATTTAAACTAAAAGTATTTATAATTAATGGCTCATAAAATCACGTATCAAGTGCGAACATGTACATATATATATATATATATATATACACACACACATATATAATTATAATTATATATACCTATATAGTTATATATATACATATATATAGTTACTTGTTGGTGGAAATATTAAAGAATGTGTATGAAAATATGTACAGACTTGATATTAGTAAATAACTCAATTCTAGAACATAAGTTTTCTAAAACTGATAGTCTTAGAATCATACTTCTATTTCAAAATCTACTTTTCTCCCATATATATTTTAATTATTTAATTTGATTTTCATAGTGTTTGGCTAATACTTTATGGAGCAAAAATATTTACAGAGAGGCCATTTAAATGGAAATTTAGAAGCCCAAAACATTGACGAACTATGAGAATATTTTGGAAAAACAAAATCTTCAGGCCTATTTCACTTTTTTAAAAAAATTCACCTAGTAAAACTATATGTCTGGAAGTTTTCTCTTTTACTTTTACCTGTTGATACTAGGAGTTTCAAGTGATAGGGATACAGAACTTTAGAAAATTTAAAGTCCTTCAGTCACAGTTCTTGGTATTGAATTAATAGGAAAAGATTTAAACAGAATCCAAAACCAGCCATTAGGCCTAACTAGTTCTAACAAAACTTTGTTCCCTGCCCCAAATATAACAGAAGTGGCACAAGGAAGTCTTTGAAGGAAATCATTGCTCTGGATGTCCCTTATCAGACTCACACTCCCTTGCATTTTTCAAGAAAATTCATTTTTACAGCATATTTCCAAGACTTGAACTTCTGCATAGTTTTCTCAAAAGGAGCATAATGGAGTGACACAGGACCCAGGGGTATTTTCAGTTTGTCACATGCATTTAACCTAGAAGCGTTGTTTCTGAAACTCTTTTGCCTTAGGCCACAGTGAGCAATACATTTCACATTAGCTTTTGTGAGCAATGGACCATATTTCTGAGACATTATTTATTCTATTTTTTTTTCAATATTGACCATTACCCTTGGAATTGATTCTGTGATTCACAAATGTGTTGCTATCTGAAGTTTGACAAACACTTGCTTTGAGTAAAAAGTTGTCTGGAAATAATCTACATCTATGTATCAGATTCAGAATGTTATAAGAATTATATCTAATGGTAGAGTAGCTTGCATTTACTGAGTGTATAAATTTTGTCACATTTTCAAAATTAATCACTCATTCTCACTTAAAAATTCCATGAGCTAGGGAAGAGATACATGGCTTGCCCTAGGACAATAGCAACCCTGGCTGGCTTACTTGGGGCCCATTACATTCTCTTGCTTATGAAAGAGTAAAAGAATCAAGCTCATGTCTGTCCAGTCTGCTTCATAGCCTTGTCAGAAAAGGTAGCTCTGTTCTCAGAAATAAGCTGTGGACACACACTTAAGAGCCTGGTCTATTTCTTTGTGCAGAACTAGACTGAGGAGGAGAGACTCCTGAGCAACCTGTGTTCTGCCTCCAGCCTTCACTCATCAGCTAACATTTACATTCAAAACAGACTTACTCTTCTGTCATTTCTACAGCACAGAGTGAACAGAGCTGATGGAGAGGAGGGACCAGGAAGAGGACCTTTGAAATGGGAAGGGCTAGTGGATCCATCATGGTTTTCCCGGTTCTATTAATGAGTAGGGAGGGTGAACTTCAAGCTGAGAGGAATGTTCACTTTTCACCTTGCATGAAACTGTCTTTTTGGTATAGGAAGTATGTCATTAAGGAATAGATATGGAATAAATATGGACATATCACCTCTCTGTCTAAAAACCTCAGCTCCTTCTGTTAGGAAAATTTACAAAAAGAAATCTATCCTTCATTAATACTAAAGGAATGGAAAGCATACAATCCAAATGTGACCTAAGTTTAAACTTTAAAGACTACAGAAATAAATATGTATTCTTCTTACAATCCCATTCTTCAGATCATTAATGTTAGAAAGATTGCTATATATTTTTCGAACTTTTGTTTGTAATTCATCCATACCTTGAATACTTCGTAAACCCTTGAACACATCACACACACACACACACACACACACACACACACACTCACACCACTTTTTATGTAAGTAAGGTATGTATTTTGTCTTACAGTTTGTTTTTTAAATTTAAAATTAAGCAGTACACCCATTTCAAAGTATGTAAATATATAATGGCTTAGTTCTTTAAAAAATTGCATAGTATCCTATAAGAGAGCTATACCACAATTGTTAATTAATCTCCTATTAATGTGGACATTAAAGCTGCATGCAATTATGTAATACAGAAATTGCTATCATAAATGTTATTGCACATTTTGGCTGGCAATTCAATAGAATAGGTTTCAATCATCAGGATTAGTAGACCACAAAATTTTCCTTTTGCATTTTTACCTTTGGTAGAAATTGGAAAAAAAACATTTGTCCTCATTACATTCTTAGAAATTTTTCATTTTAATTTATATTTTTATTATAAATAAGGCTGAGGATCTTTTCAGTGGCTGCATGCAATATCCCATTTCTTTTTATTAATTCATACTCACCACATAATACATCATGCTTCTTCAATATCAGTCATGGCACTTTTGTTGCCAGTACAAAAGTTTATCTGGTTGTGAGGATCTGCTAACCTGCACATCTCTTGCAGTAATCTGAATTAATGGCCTCCTATGGCAAAGTGAAGCCCCAGTGGGAGATGACTTTGGTCTCAGATCTGCAACCCGCTCTGTGCTGTAAGGGTTACATAGAGGACAAATTATTTAACCTTTCTTGAATACTCAACCATCATTCCTCAACAGGATAATTTCTACTGCCTTTTCAAAGAATTGTTTTTTCATAAATGATTAACAGTCACCAAAAAAAATTTATAATCTAGATTATAAATGTAACCATCAAGAATAAGTTTATTTAGCATTCAATTAAAAATAACATTGGTCATGATCTTTGAACTTTTTAAAATTCCCCTCAACAAACCACCTAAATTTAATGTTTATTAATCCCTTGATTCCCTTTCTAATTTTACCACATTTTAAAACTCTAATCAATAATTTTTTTAACTTGGGATTGCATTTGCTTTTTTTGCAAATTTATTATCCTTAAATGAAGCCATATTGTGATGTATAGCTTGCAAATTCCTTTTTATTTCTATGTAATATTGTTTCATAAAAATACCTGCAAATGTGATTTTTCATTCTACAGTTGGGAGATGTTATTTTTTCCCACTATTTTGCTATTACAAATTATGTAGCATGAACATTCTAAAACACAAGTGTATCATTTTTTTTTAGGACAGCAACAGTTCTTAATCTTTGCTGAACATTAGATTCAGTGAGAAATTAAAAAAAAACGATCTGATGCCCAATAAACCGATAAAATCACAATATCTGGTGGCGGGAATTGAGTATCAGCTTCATGTGGCCAGGGCAG